CAAATAAATTAAAAATTAAGAATTATAATAGTATATATTATATATATAATATTATCAGGCAACGCAAGTATATATGGAGCAATTATTAGAACTTCATAGAGGTCAGGGAATGGATATTTTTTGGAGAGATAATTTCATCTGTCCAACTGAGGAAGATTACAAGATTATGACAATAAGAAGTAATTGCTAATATTTATACAATCTTTATTTTATATGCATATAGAAAAAAAGGATTTAAACATTAATTAATGTTGCAGAAACTGGTGGGCTTTTCAATTTAGCCGTAAGATTGATGAAACTGTTCTCAACTTATGAAGAAGATTTTTCATCATTAATAGCTACTTTAGGATTATATTTTCAAATACGCGATGATTATTGCAACTTGTGCCTCGGTGAGGTAAGCGATAATATATTCGATTTAATGAAATAAATTTATACTACATATATTTATTATTGTTACAGTACACTGAGAATAAAAGTTATTGTGAAGATTTAACTGAAGGAAAATTCAGCTTTCCGATTATTCATGCCCTTAGAAGCAATCCTGACGATAGACAAATAATAAGTATCCTTTATCAAATGTTATTTTTATTTAGTAAAAAATATAATATTCGCTATATAATTAATAAACTTTTTTTACTAATTGTTCCATGTATAATCATTCTATGTATAATTTATTAGATTTATATATTTCTTTAATAATGCTTAATAAAGATATTGTACGACAACGGACAAAGGATATCGAAGTGAAACGTCATTGCATTAAATTATTAGAGAGATTTGGTTCCTTTAAATACACGAGAAATGTACTTGAAGAATTGGATTCGACTGCGAGGGCTGAAATTGAACGATTAGGTGGTAACCCGCTTCTGGTGAAGATTCTGGACGAACTTAAGAATTGGGATACCCAAGATGCACCTAAGGATCCTTTAACTGGAACGTTTTAAGTTTAATGTTATTTTTTTTTTGTAAAACGTCAAAAAATAGCATTACATAGATTTTTTAAATTATATTATATAAAATAGGTGTAATGATACAAGTGGCAAAGGAATACTTATATTGTGACATATTATGTATAAATTATGTAAAAAAATATAATGATCCGTATTCAAAACGTTATAACAATGTTAGCGCGCTAACGCATACTTTATGTTACGCATATAGAATTTCAGAAATAAAAGCGCGTTCTGAATACGGGCCAATATATATAAAAGTATACAAAAAATATATAATAAAATTTTAATAGCTGATAAAAATTAATATTTATAAAATTTTATTGGATATCTGTGCACTACAAATAAAAATGGATGTCTATAAAAGATTTAAGAATACTTATATAGAATATGAATTGTTATTTTTTAATAAATTAATATTTTATTCAGCTGTACACAAACATAATTTTTTAATAAATTAACATTTTATTTAGCTGTACACTATTCGAATTATGTAAAGTTAAATAATAATAAGAAAAAGTATAGTAAAAGAAGTAGTATGTATCTATATGTATCTATATACATGTATCTATATACGCTTGCATAAGTTCAGCAAAATTTTATTTTTATTTGTAAATATATAATTTTGTAACGTGCAAATACTGTGATTTTTTTACACAAAAAAACTGTGCTGTAGATTTTAAGATTATGTTTACACGGATTATTTACGTAAAATCTACGTGATGTTTGCATAATTTTTTGTCATGTAAACAATATAGACTATGTAGACTCTGTTGTAAAACGCATTGCTAACATGTTTTATACAGTATAAAAGAATTAAAATTAAATTATAAAATAGTCTTTACACAGAGTAGAATTATCCGAAATACGTCTAAGAATTAGTCTAGGTTATAAAAATATATGGCTATATCTTTAGAATATTCCTGTGATACATTTTGAATATTTTAGCTATGTGAGCACGCTCACATATTCCCATTTTAAATATAAATTGTATAAGCATTATGTAAGTAAAATTATGTAAGTATTTATTAAATTCATAAATTATGTGTACTAAATTTTTTTAGGAAATGTTTATAAATTATCAAAATTTTAAAGATTAAATTTAGAAAGATATAAAAATTTGTATTATTGCTTTTATTATTGTTGCTGCAATATGCACAATGTGCATAATATTTATTACGTATACATTTTAATTAAAGTAAAATCTAGTTCATTAAATCCATTATTTATTTTTCGTGGCATGTTCGAGGTAACGAGTTGTTATATTTAAAAATCCAGTTTATAAATTTTAAGACATTAATATAAATATTGAGCTTTAAAATTTCACTTCTAAATGTTACGTGAAGAACTGTACGACTTATGACTTCAACACACATTTCAAATTTATTCTGTACACCACATGATAAAAGCATCTTTTGAAGCTAATCAACGTTTTTCCGTAAAAGTTAAAAGATTCCTGGAAAAAAATGTTTTATATATAATTATATATAATTAGGGTAACTCCGGTATACACGTCGTATGTATCAACAGTTAAATTTATTATATGATAAGAAAATAATAAGTATTCTTTACGAAACATTATATTTAATATGAAAGTAGATACTAAGGAATATATTCCGTATTAAGTAGACAATAAGAAAATTAAAGGGTACTCATATCTCTATTTTGAAAATTTTTTAACAAAATTTTTAGATAATGTTAAAATTCTTAACAATAAATCAAGATATTTTAACACAACGATCGAAAAATATTGAAGTAAAATGTTACTGCATTAAAATATTAGAGTTACGAATCATTTAAGTATACAAAAGATGTACTTGATGGATTGGAAAAAAATAAAAACCGACCGTTTAAGTGGCAATCCGCCCTTGGTAAAGCTTCTGGACGACAGCAAGAATAAAATGTTGAAAACACGTACCTAAAGATTCTTTAATCAAAATGATAAAAAATTCAGAAATACGTATTATGTTATTAATAATATGTCAGACGTAGCATTGCACAATTTATCCATTTCATTGAATAAAACAATCTCTTATTAATAGTTATAAACAACAAAATGTAATAAAAATTTATATCTGTATACGAATGAAGATAAAAAAAATTAATTTATAAAACTTTGATGAAAAAAAATCATTTATAAAACGATATAGCAATAAATCATTATGCACCCAAAAAAAGTATTCTGTCGATAAGCAGGAAATACCTCTTAGCATTTTTTCTAAGAAAAAAATTGTACATGAATCTCACACAAGCGCGGGTATTTTGTGACATGTATTTATCTATAAAAATGAGGGCACACGAAAAGCGATGTGATTCGCATAGTGTTTTTTTTCTTTCGCACAAGACAACAAACTAAACAAAGAATACGAAAGCAAAGCACTTGTGTTTGGCTACACAACATGTTTTCTATTCCACTACACGTATATATCGCAAAACCACTAAGTCTTTTACACGTCCTATAGTAATCATTTTATATAGATTATAATTTATGATGACGTTACTTATTATAGTGACAAATCGATTCTACTCACAATAATTTCATTAATATTAACAGTAAGAAGCTGAAATCATAGCGCGACGTATTTGCCAGAGTTACCCTGTACAAAATTATATAAAATTATATATAAAATTATATAAAATTATATATAATTATATGTAAAATTGGCACATATATTTTATATATAATTATATATAAAATATATTCATATATATAACATTTTTTCATATATAATTTTATATAATTTTATATATAATTTTATATAATTTTGTACAGGGTAACTCTGGCAAATACGTCGCGCTATGATTTCAGCTTCTTACTGTTAATATTAATGAAATTATTGTGAGTAGAATCGATTTGTCACTATAATAAGTAACGTCATCATAAATTATAATCTATATAAAATGATTACTATAGGACGTGTAAAAGACTTAGTGGTTTTGCGATATATAGCGGATTACAAAAAAAAGAAATATATTTTGATATACGCAAATTTCCGCTGCTAGAGATGTGTGCGCACCATATTTGGAAATTGTCTATATATAAGTCTACATAGATGACACCTATCAAACAACACAAAATCTAAAATTGTGATACAAATTTTAAGTCTTTTAGACGCAGAAAACGTCTTATGGCCCGATTTTAGATATTCTTTCTTATCTGAGCTTATACAATAGTTTGTGTTGTCTACATAAACGGAGAATATCATAATTTGCGCGTAAACAATCCTATTCAACTCTTTCTTTATTCGTGATAAAATTTTTACTCGCGCGAACATATATTTTGTATGCATAAATACATGTATAAATGAATAAAAAAAATTTTTATTTATTAAAAAAAGACAAATATTGATAATCTGCCAATCAAATTTATTCATTAATTTAGTCATTAAATTTAATTTTTTTCGTGTTATTTATGTCGTAATGACGAAATAGCTAACATAAGATCATAAATTTAAGCGTCATGTACTCTTGTGAAACGTATAATAAATAATAAAATGAACAAAAGTTTTTGATTTCCTTTCTTTCCATACAATAGAGGACTTTGATTAGTTGATCTTTTTATCGCGTTTCGATTTATTTACGCCTCATATCTTATGCATTATACAAAAGTCTGTACTCTTCGCTTTAGCATATTACTGCAGTTAAAACATTATAAACAGAGAAGAAAGCTGTAAGAACTACCTATAAACTTTTAGACCGGTATTCATAGTCGATTTCAATTTGTTTTTTTATAGACCTGTTATATGAGTTCTTTTTTAAGGGGGTATAACACCTTTGCGGCATCAAAAAATAAAAAAAATTTTTTATTAGCTTAAATGATACTTTAAGATGTCTAGAATATGATCCCATTAACGCCTAAACGATCTTGAATTTATTTCACGTCGAAAACAACTATGTTTGTGTGTTACCTCTAGCGCGGGGAGAGGGCCTCGGGACGCTCACCGAGCTCGCTGCCTACCTCTTGTGTTTGTCAAGTATTTCAGGATAAAGTTTTCAAAGCAGTCAAGCCTATCTACGAAGAATTAAGTTCTGACGATTTATTATCCCGCTGTCTTGGCGGGTATACTCAAAATAACAACGAGAGCTTCAACTCTATGCTGTGGTCTATAGCGCCGAAAGGGGTCCACAGCAGCAAGGCGATCGTTGATATTGCTGCAAATATTGCTGTTTGCAATTTCAACGATGGCCTAAAAAGTGTATTGGAAATTATGCAAGTTCTTAACTTAACGATCGGTACCACCTGCTACAACTTTTGCATAAAAACCGATGAACGGCGGATCCGCGCAACCGAGCGCGCCATGACTGCGGAAGCTAAAGCAGCTCGGAGACTTGACATGTCCAATAAAAAGGCCAAAGATGATGAGGACCTTAATTTGGAAGGACAATTGTACGGGCCAGGCATTGCCGATTAAGGTAATAAGCTAATAATTGCAAGATTTCTCGTACCAAAATTTAAAACGCGTTTTCTGAAAAACACTATTTTTCAAGCTGGTGTACATCACAACGCCCA